AAACTTGATTGCTCGGGAGTTTATCGCATCAAATGCAGCAACTGTGAGCAGAAGTATATTGGGGAAATAGGAATAAAAATCGGCATACGAATCAAGGAACATCAAAGACTCTGCAGGAACATGAATACACAAAGACCAGAAATAGCGGAACACATTGCATGAAAGGGGCACGAAATCGACTGGAGATCGACCGAAAGGTTGGCTGTATGTGGTGAAGATACAAGAAAACGCAAGATCCGAGAGGTCATCGAAATGCCATGCGAGAGAGATTCAATGAACAGGAGACTTGAAAAAGGCAAGATTAGCGAAAACTTTGCATATTGCCTAAACAAACTAGGATAAGATAAGGCAATAGTAAGATCAGCAAAAAGAAGACGACTATATCAAGGCAATATCCTTAATTTTAGGAAAATAGATCACAATGAGACGAAAAGGAACATTCAGAAGCAAAGAGACGTCTTCAGTGAGCCTAATCAAAACATGTAGAACCACGACATTTGTGGGTTGGCAAACAGGAGATTAGGACGTAGGAAGTGATAGACATGGTATTATGAGATAGAAACAGGAAAGACGCGGTGGAGACTAAAGTTATTTGGCTAACAATAGACATGCTTGATCATATAAGTGATACTTAAATCACGACCATTGTTAGCCACCAGCTCTAGCTTCCACTGCTTCAATCCTCTTTCTATCTCTAATACCAAGTCTATGACTTGCTATGCCCTAGTCTCTTGTGTGCCAACCCAAAAACGTTGTGGTTCAACATTGAACCTAATCAAAGCTAGCAGTACCACAATATTTGCGGGTTTGCACACAAGAGACTAGGGCATAACAAGTCATAGACTTGGCATTAGAGATAGAAACAGGATAGACGCGGCGGAGACTGGAGCTAGTCAGCTGACAGTAGGCCTGTTGTGCAAAAGACGTGGTCCATGTGACAAAGGCTCAACGATAAGACTTACTCAGAGGCTTTAGCCTCGAATTAATGTCCCAGGCGGAGGGGAAAGCGAATAACGTCTCGAGTAGCACAGATGGGGTGGCAGGT